TGTTCTCCTGCATTTTTCAGGCAGACAGGAATGCCTGCCAGGCCAGCACTGAGCCAGCCAGAAGCTGTGGCAATGTGGGCAATGTGAAACAGAATTTGATTTAACGTTAGCATGCCTTTCTGTGGGTTTATTGACTTGATTTCTCTATTGTGCTAACTTAATCCGTGCAGCTTCCAGTTGATTTGGAGTGATGACTGCTTTTGTCTGCAAAATGCTTTCCAGACATATTCCTGAACCTGCCAATAAACAGAACTACAGGTGAGAAGTGTGACTGCTGAATGAAAACAGTGGGTGAAAAGGTAATTGTTAGAGGCTGGAGCCTTAGAGAAAAGATAAAAAAACCCCTAAAAGAGATTAAAACCATAATTAGACCAACACTGTGAGAAGATAACCAAGTCCACATTCCAAAAGGAGTGGTTTTACACTTGCTTAGCGAGAGGACTTGTCTGATGAAAGTTCTGGGAGCAGAACAGTCCATTGTTTATAAGATTGATTTGTTATTCAAATTAGTGTATGTAGAGCATTCTAGATCTTATACAAGGCTGAAAACTATCTTCATGCGTTAATTATGAAATAAATCTTATTACAATGTTATAAGCAGTATTTCAATACTATCATTATCTCTAAGCAGAGACCCCAAAAATAGTCCTCTGTGCCTCAATTTACCAGGATAATAGAATTAAAATTTACTGTACCCAAAACGAGGTCATAGATAAATCTTTTTGGAGCAGGGATCTGTGGTGTTTATGTAGGTGATGCCATCTCTGAAACCTTTTACCAGTTCCACCATTTAAGAGAAATATTAATGTAATAAATGGGAACACCTCCCTCCCTCCCTGACCCCATCCAGCAGTTAATAGTGAATTGGATGGGAACTTTAAAGTATGTCATTACTAGAAAATATGAACTACTTCTGACCCTTAGATTCACCCTAATATTTCAGAAAACCTCCAGAATCGACAGCATTATTGGTATAAAGATCTGCTGGAAAAGGATTATTTATTGTGTAGAAAAAGTACATGTAGAAAATATTTCTTGTGGCCTTGTTTCTTAATATACATATAAAAAATTCCATTTCACTGCTTTAATTCCTATGAACACCATGAGTAAACTAGTATTTTGCGTAGCTTAGTCCAGTGAATTAAGTGTAAATATTATTAAAACTGCATTTGTTACAATATTTAGAGGGAAGGGGAGAAAAATGTACAAGTCAAACCTTTCTGCCTTGGAGGACAGAGACCAAATAGATATTACAGAAGTCATTGATAAATTGGGCTGTTCAATTGGGTTAGTGACAAATGACAGCTGAGTAGGAGTCACTGCAATGAATCTAGAGGGATAGTATTCAAAATACCCTCCTTTACTGTGAACACTTTATCAATTTCTCCATAGTTAGATATAAAGCTGAAATAAACCCAATCTATAATGTTAACTTTAGATTAGAAGCATTAAGATAGTGCTGTTGTCACCATTTAATCCTTCTAATGCCCACATAGTCAGAATCTGATGTGGCCAGAACTTTGAGATTGGTCTATTCTGCTCTTTCTGTATAGGAAGTTTTTTGAAAGGTTTTTAAAATGAAAAATTCAGATTTATTAGAGTAAAATTTGAATTACTGAACTCGTTAAATAGCATATATAAGTGAGATATAGCACAACAAATCTCCCTCTCTCTGTCTTCTCCTGCTTCTTCTACATCCTTTCAGGACAGGTCCTTGTTCCAGGACTGGTTTCAATCAATGTGTTTGTTTTAGGAATACTGTCAATCTCCACACAGCCTGGTGTGTTCATGGGGAAGTTTTTCCCTGTTCCTGCTCTCTCAGAAAGGGGAAGGTATGGTCCCTTTTCAAACCACAGGTTCTCAGCAACATTTTCTGACTTTCTTCCCAAGTAGAAGAAAGCAGAAACCACATAGTTTCTGGCATCTTATTATCCAGTGGTTTTCCTGGAACAGCTATAACACCAGAGGCCTGTCCCTATGTCCTTCTTTTCTTGGAATGTAACACAGGCACTGAGAACAAAATGAACTGGTTTAGTCCATTTTAACATTAATCCACCTGCTGGTCAAAAAATAAACAGTGCACAGAGTGGTCAGATATTGGAGATGCATTTTAAATTAAAAAGAAAATTTGAAACTAACTAGACGTTGAACAAACAGCAAAATAAGACGAATAATTTTCTCTTCTAAGAGAAAAAACTGTCTACAGGGAGAACCTGGCCTCACTGCATGATAGGGTTGAACCAGAATGCAGAGAAGAGAAAAATTCCTCAGGGTGTGCTTTGGCAGAATTATGAAATAAATAAAAAAAAATGTGCTGGGTGGGAATATTTTTCTCTGTTTGAATCGTTTGAAGCAATTTTAGGATTTTTGGCCAATTTAATACATAATCCTTTAACTATAATGTTCTTGGCAAAGAACATTCTTCAGCTTCTGTCTTGTTAGAAGATGCTATTCCTCTCAAAACTAGTTTTAGTTTGGTGTGACATTAGCTGCGAGGCTTTTCAGTAGTACAGCCAGAATTTGGTTGTTGCAGGAGGTGCCCAAAACCCCGCTGTGAAAGTGAAAAGGGTGAGAAGTGGCAAAGGGGGGGTAGAGAACTACAAGGGAAGAAGAAAAAGCTGCTGAGAGTGATATTTCCCTGTTGCTGCTCTGTACAGACTGAGTGGTGGCTCCTGCTTCCAGAAGACTCCTTTTATTCCAGCAGCAGTGGCTGCCCTTGCAGCACCCTGAGCCTTCTCTGTGATCATCAACACTGCCTGACACCTCAATGCTCCTGGCTGGAAAAGGAGCCCTTTGCTCTGTGCTGCACAGCAGCAACTGTGCTCTAAGGTCTTTAACAGCACTGCTCTCACCAGGGTTTAGTGGAGAGAATGCAGAAGCTTCATCTCAGTCTAGGGAAGGACTGAGGCTTGGCCTGAGTCTCAAGTTTAAGCAACTTAAATGGATACTTTATTCTGCTTTGCTGTTTTATCACCAACATTTCTCAGTTCTCTGTTGCGAAGACTCGAGGGAAACACGCTCAAGGATTCCCAGCTGTGAACAACACCTAAGGAGTGACAGGATTTAATTCCATAGTAGTTGTGTGTCTCTCCATCTCCCTGAAAGAGGTTATATCGAGGTGGCTGTCGCCACTGAAAGAGTGGGCAGGCACTGGAATAAGTTGGGGAGGTGGTGGAGTCCCTGTCTCTGGAGGTATTCAAGATGTCTCTGGATGTGGCACTTGGGGTTATAGTTCAGGGGTGATTATGGTGGTGCTGGTGGATGGTTGGACTGGATAATCTTGGAGGTCTCTTCCAACCTTGTTGATTCTGTGATTTGTAGCATGTGAGAGTGATACATAATGGCTTTATAATTGTGTGCAATAGGGCACAAAATGACAGAAGTCTACATTAATACCAGCTGTATGTTTATTAGCTGCCTTATTATTTAATAGATATATTAGATTTTTAATAGTGGGTTCCTTAATAAATATTGTGGTCTCTTAAATTAGTAACATATTCAGCCTACAATTAATAAGGTGGAGTCAGACACTTAAATAGATCTGGGTGTTGCTTGGGCTTAAGCTGCATCTCAGGAGGGTTGGATCCAGAGATCACTCACAGAGAACAAAGGTCTCTGAAAGCACATGGACACAATGGAAATAAGCAAGATTAAAACCAGTGTATATCTTAAACTCTCCAAAGGATTATGAAGAATGATGTTTTTATAGTGGTGAGTGGGAACTAAGGAAACTAGATGTTCCAGTTTTAGAGACTACAATGTCTGTGTGCTGATGTTAACACAGCAAAAGGTCTCAAGTAACAACAATGAAAAATTGCACTTGCACTGTTGTCTTAATTTTGTATCAGTATCTTGGCAAAGCATTCAGATATTTTGAGCAGAGAATAACAGTTTTCTGCTTCTATACTCCCAAGTAAAGGTTTAAGAGCAAATTCTTAACACAAGGGTTTCATATAAAATTGACTGACTTCTTTCTGATAAATTGGAGAATAAGCAAATTCTAGTACTGGCAATGCCTGTAAATATTTTGTATGAAAGCATTTTCATTACAGAAAAAACAGGGCTGAAGGAAGAGGTTATCTAATCCATTGAACTCTCTCTTAAATCTTTATCTCTGCTTAAAAATCTCTAGTGAAAGGGTTTCCAGAATTGCATTAAGTGGCATGACACAGTTCTTCACTAACTTACAGTGAAGAATTGCCTACTTCTGATTCCTTTTCCTGGCAGCACTGAGAAGTCACCAATTCTGTGGTGATATTCTGTGGATGTGGAAGTGATTTTGTCTTCTTTCTCCTTTTACCTTTCTGGGAGATTTTCTTACATTTTGAAGTTTTTTAACATATATTTTCAATCTAAAGACTGTAAATTCCCCCCCCTGCCCCTGAGAATGTATTTTCTCTTAATTTTGTTGCTGTACTTGTGACAACCTTATAGCAGCCTTCCATTACATAAAGGGGGTTTGCAAGAAGGCTGGAGAGAGTCTTTTCAGAAGAGCAGGGTGTGATAGGACAAGGGGGAATGGCCTTAAGCTGAAGGGAGAGTGGGTTTAGAATACGTGTCAGGAAGGCATTCTGCCCTGTGAGGGTGGTGAGACACTGGCCCAAGTTGTGGAAACCCTGTCCCTGGAAGTGTTCAAGGCCAGGTTGGATGGACTGAGCACCGTGGTCTGGTGGAAGGTGTCCCTGCCCATGGCAGGAGGTTGGAATGAGATGAGCTTTAAGGTCCTTTCCAACAAAACCATTCAATGTTTCTGTGGTCTTACACATATGCAGACAATGACATTGCTGGGGAAGGTGGGTGAAAGGATTGCCTCACGTTTTGCCTGTGACATTCCAGTTTATATCTGCCAATATTTGTACACTGTGGTTTGTGTTGGTGATTTTGTGTGTCTGTATCTGTTCAGCTCGAGCTAGTTCTCATTTCATTTATTCTTACTGCCCTACTCTATCCACTTCTTGAAGTACAGTCTACTCCTTCTCCTCCCATCTGTGGGTGTGCCAAGGCACCTTTTTGGGAAATGATGCAATTTGGGTGCTTGCAACCAGTTGTCTGGAGGTGCTGAGTGAAGACTGAGTCGATTGTAACTGAACAAAGGGAAGATGAAAGAGGCTGTGAAAGGTACAAGTATTCTCAGTGTATTTGCTGTGAGGGAAGAGGGCACTGTAAATAGGCTAATGGATGGTACAACTACTATATCATCCAAGAAAAGTGGGGGGAATTACAGTAGAAAGATGATCAATATGTATAAAACTCCAAGAAATGTTTTTTGTCTTTAAGATTGGTGCAAGTTGAAAACTTGCTGAGCAAAAATATTTAGAAATAAAGGCAATAGAACTGGCAGGAGTGTAGCAAGTCTAATCAATAATAAAAGGATAATCCGTCTTTCTTTGTGGTACACAAAGCAATAATCTGTTGTTCGGATTGATTAAATGCCTCAGCTCTGTTTCGATTATTAATCAATCTGTAAAACAGCTTATTGTGAGTATAATACAAAGTACTAGAGATTATGGATAGTGGATGGTGATAACAGGATGAGGGAGGGGGAGTCTTTTTTTTTCTTCATGTGAAAAAAGTTGAGCTGAAGTGAGGTGGAGGGTTTTTTTCAACAGACTTTCTTTTCCTATACATATTAGTGGCTTGACTGCAGTGTCAAGTTGCAGAGTTCTAAAACAGGGTCTAAAAGTTGAGTTTACACAAGTTGTGGTGATTTTCATCTCTGATGTGCAAACACAGGAAGGGCCACTGGTTGGACAGAGAAAGAATATGAAATATAAGGACTAAGAAATCAGGAGGCTCTTGGATAGAAAAAACCTGACCAGTTATCTTTTGGAAACATGCTGTTGTCTGATATGTTCTTTGCACTAATAATTTATTTTATTCTTACACTGAAGCTTATTTGAACTGTGGGCTAGCCTAGGCTTTCAGCTTTTGAGATTTTTAAGTTATGAGGAAGAAAAATCTCCTCCCTATGTATTCTGCACCCTATGCCTTGGGTTATATTATTGCCAAAGAGATCTGGTTTTTTTATGAGTACATTAGGTGTTGTTTTTGCTTCAAAAGGGCAAAGAGCCAAAATTTAACTTGTCCAAATGGCTCATTGCTGTCTGAAAGGTGAATTTGGGATTTGCTTTTTTTTTTTCTTTTTTGTCTTCTGTTGAGAGGTTCAAATGTACCTGTTTTACTGAAATTTATGAAACAATCTTTATGAAATGCAAAATCACTTAAGCCCCTGAGAAGTAACCTTTAATTTGTCTCTCCTTTGAGTCCAGACTTGGACCAAACGACTTCCAGAGACGCTTTTCAACTTCTCTTATTGTGGAACTCGACGATTAAATGATAAGATGGGAAATAAAACATACCTGAGATGTTAACCTTTAGACAGATTTGGTGCCACTGATCAGAGAGTTGAGTTGATACTTATTTGTCTTTCTCTTTTGAAGGGTTTCCTTTCACCAACACTCAGGACAACTTGTACCATGAGCTTCTCTATCGCTTTGTCTCCTTGTGACTGCCAGTTCTCCATCTTGGTTATCCAAACCCTGCATTGCTTGGATGAAATAAATGGTTCTCCATGCTGGGAACAACTCTGGTTTCAGAACCCTCTCTCTGGGGATTTACAAAAATGCATGTTTGTTTGGTTCCATTCCTCTAAGGTAACACTGAAGGTGTGGTTTACAGACTCATGTTGGATCTTCAGACAAATTTTCAACTTATGAACAGTACTGACCTGCACGATTAATGATGGATTATGCTGACAGTATAAATTTAGTTGCATCCTCAATCTTGACTCCTTTCCAGTTGTGTTGTTTTGGGGGTTTGGACTTTAGGATTTTTTTTGTTGTTTTGTGGGGTTTTTTGATGGTAGAATGAAATAATGAAGCTGATGATAAAATATGCCTATAAAAATTCTGGCAAATTTATTACAGAACAACATGGCTTGATTTCTTATTTTTCTATCCATCTGGTCATTAGGCCTTTCCAACTGTCAGTGTCTAATATAATCTCCTTTAATAGCAGCATATAATTAGCTCTATGCTGATCAGAGGCATTGGGGATGGTGGTGGTAACACTCAAATCCAAATATCAAAATCCCAGAGAAGATAACTCAAAGAGACATATGTCTAAGCCAGCATTTATGACTTTTAGTCCTAAAGTCTGTAACTGTTGATTTAGCATGTGAGCTTTGAACTGTGGTATGGAAATTTATCAATTAAGAATCCTCAGGAGTTCTGGAAGGAAAGTACAGATGTGTCTCCAAATGTGGTAATATTTCACTTTTTTTCTTCTATACAGTCCTGGTCTCTCTTCAAATATTTGATTTCTTCTTATTTGTCTAGTTTCTTATTTAAAAAAAAGGTAATGAAAGCTATAGCCTTGACATTACTCCATTAGGAACAAATTGTCTCAATTTTTAACCTTCATCCAGAGCTCTATATATACAATCTATACACACGTACTTCACAAAGTGTTTCCTTAAAGGCTGTTACAGGAGTGCAGTTTTCTAGTGTTTTTTTTTCTTTTTTTGGGAGGTGACTTGGAGGTGTTTTTGTTTTACTGCACGTATCTGATCAATGTATTGCAAATATAACGTGGTAGCCCTTGTTTAGGAAGGCCCTTGAAGAGTGTTGATGTTGCTGAGACTGGGACTTCATTCTAAAAGTGTGAATTTCTCTCAGTTCCTTTAAAGAACATTTGATTTTAACAGCTGTCTTCCAGAAGTGTTCTGTCTTGCATATGGAGTTGGACAAGTCAGCTATTTGATCATAAAAGAGCTAATTATGGGGCAGGATTTCAAACACTTCAGATAGATATTTATTGACTAGATCTAGCAAATTATTTGGTTCATTGGAACGTACTGGAACATCAACCTCTGTATTCTGCTCTGCAGTCAACCAAAATAAACCAAACAGGGCTTCAAAAAAGGAAATACACCTTGACAAGTGAAAATTACATCTCTTGCATTAGGCTGGAAGCATCTTTGAATTTAGGCTTTCAGTTCTTCTATATAAGATCACAGTTCTCTTTTTGGTCTCTGGCATTGTAATCCATTTGAGGATTCTGTCAACACCCCTTTCAAAAATGCATAAACCTGTTAAGATTTGTAGGAGGAAAATCTATACAAGTTACCTTTTACTCATAACCTGAAGTGCACAGCCGGAGCTTTCTCCAAGAAGTGTTTCAATACCAGAAAAGGAAAAACAGGCATCTATTTCTTTATGATTCTGTATTGAAAGTGTAGTGGTACCACTATAGGGTTTATTTTTGGCCTAGATATTTGCTCAGGGATTGTTTAGGTTGTCCACTACTTGCTGACCAGACTGTGAGGACACATCCTAGCTCTGACAGGACAGTGGGATAGATACCTGGAGAGTCACTGCAGCACTTGAAACATCAATGAGATGGGAAGCACACTGACTTCTCCCCAAAGAGATCTGTCAGGATTCATTGCAGGATCTATTCCTTACCTTCCTCCTTTAATTTCCCGCATCATTTAACCAGTGTTTTCTGTGGCAGAACTGCTCTGCACATCACTGCTTTCCTTTATGTTTGTTAATAAATAGTGGCTTCTGCTACACAAGATTTTTTGGCAGGCAGTAGTGAATATAATCTCTCTGGGTTGCAGATATAAACTAAAGACAACTCCCAGACCTTTTAATAAGAAACCAAAACCTGTTAATGATGCATAAGAAGCAGTCTGGAATTCACTGGACAGCTCCCCACTGTGGGCCTCTCCCTTCTCTCCCCCCCCCTTCCCAATAAATTTAGTTTAAGATTAAACTCTTTCCCTGTTCTTTACAATTATATTTTCTGGCTTTTCTCTGGAGATTATTTCCTCCAATGAAACTTCCTCGTACCTCAAACCACCTTTGGTCAAAGTGTAGTTTTGGTGTGTAGAGTGGGGAAAAGGGAATGCTACATTCTAAAGTAAATTGAAAAAGTCTACACTAACATACAAGAGCAGGTAAGAATGTTTTATACAGAACTGAACTCTTCAAAAATAGTACTAAGTATTTTGAGTTGTTGGAATACATGCACCAAGCTGTATATGCAAAGATATTAAAATATTGAAACCCTACAAAGATCCTAAAAGGCCTTGCTTTCAAGCTAAATTTGACTGAGTTAATTCTTAATTCAATTTCTCTTTTTTCTTTAATACTCAACCCTGAAACAAACAAACAAAAAATATTCCCAATGCTATTTAGAGATATGCTGTTTTGAAAGGCTTGAAAATATCCTCAGAGGTCAACATTAACAGTTATTGATAATTTGAGATATATGCCCTACAAGACTATAAGAGAAAGCAATAAATTGGATAATTTTCATCAAAAAAAGTCTGTCCTTTTTATTCAGCAAAAAAGAAAACTTTCAGGAGTGTAGAGGTGGTTTGAAAAATTGTTATAACAGAAGCATCTTTAGTGCTAGTTTGGAAGGTAATGCTTTTTTAGGCTTGTTCCATTAACAGTTCCTTAGGAAACAAAAAAGCCTGAATAATGTTTCAAAACTCCAGTCTAGTCTCTTTACTGATGTTCTTGACATTATCTCTTATACATGCAAAGCAGTTCTATGCAACTATTAATTGGATCTTTTGGGGAAGATCAGCAGAATTTCCACTTTTCAGCAAAACCAAGTGGCTGTAACTTAAGGCAATCTGAGATCACTGTAAGAATATCAGCCAGGGGAATTTCACCCTGAAGAATAAGACCTGTAAGAACCTTTATCTCGTGGCTATCCAAGGCTCATACATTTTGCCATTGAAAGGCACCCAGAGGACAGTTTGCCAAAGGGTTCTGTGGTGCAAAAAGTGGGCTAAGAGCAATGAACATCAATATCAGAGGAAGTGAAAAGAAGTTTGTGTCTTGGGAATTGTTCATGTTTGAAGAGAATGTTGTTTGCTGAATTACTTTTGCCCACGTTGCCTTAATCTAGCAAGGCGATTTGAAATACATGTAATATTGAGATTGGTTTGTTACTGGTGGCTGCTTCTGTGTTTTTAAGATGTTGACTGGATTACTCTTATTGGTGTCTCTGCACTAATCTGCTATGAGACTGCAGGCTGTTCTTGTCTCCTCCTGGCAGAGAAGGTTATTTCCCAGTCTTGCTGCTTAAAATTCCTTCCA